TCTTTGTGAACCACACGTGTCACGAGAGTTTCTCTGTCGAACGGGGCAAATCTCACAACAGGGAGGTCAGGTTATAAAACCGAGTATGCAGTACTGGAGCAGGTGGACTTCAACCAAGACAGAATCTGACAAACTGTGTTTTGGAGTTGCCTAGCAGAAGCCATTCCACATGGCCAGACAGATTGAATTAATCACTGGTGATTACTGGCAGGAAGTCCTCACAGCAGCTAGCAGGAGTATATATTTTTATACCCTTTTCAAAGTATATCTAGATCCCTTTCTTTCTGGGAATAAACACATGTTGATTTGTTTGTCCACAGGTTTGGCTGCCTATCTGCCAAAGTTATAATAGCAATTTAGACATATACACCCAAAAATACCAATCTCATCAAAAATGGGGAAGAAAACAGAACTGGGTCTTAATCTAAGCATGTATCAAGATATTCATCTTCTTACACTATGGATAAATCTGTCTTCAAATCTGATCTGTGTTTGCGGAGACAGAAATGTGAGCCAGGTACATATGGGCTGCCAAGTTGCTTTTTTACTCCAATCTTCACATAGAATCAATACAGAATGGAGGGAAATCATATCCCCTTCCTGCCCAGTAGCCGAAGCCATAAGAAAGACTGCATAATTCTTTTCTGTTGCCACTGTGATATGCCACAAATGACTGGAAATACCCTAGGCTGAGCAGTAGCAAAAATGTTATATTTATGCATAATACTATATCCTAGGATGTGTTTCTTTGTCATTTTTTAATAGTTTTGAAATGTAAGTCCCCCACACCTTGGAATTCTGACCACTGAAATGACAGTAGTAAGGATAAATATTCTTTTTGTTTGGGTACTGAAGATTCAATTTCAAATCTAAGACCAGCCAAGCTGAAGAAAGCTACTGAAAAGGGAAGATAATGGTGAATGAAATAGTACTGCGTGCTAGAGTCTAGTATGAAGTTCTCAGTCTTTTGTAAGCAGTCCACATAAATATATGCAGATAAGGTGAATAGATTAAACAATCTATTAAACAATTTTCAAACATTTTGCAAAGTGATTGGCATTCTTACATAGCATACTGAAATGTCTTGCAGGATGCTGGCATAATCACAGCTGGAATAGTTCATGCAGTCTCAAGACAGCAATACAGACATTTCAGACCTGGCACAAAGCTGAAAACAACTGACATCTGTAGTACCAGCATGAACTTCTGGCAGTAGGGATCTTTCCATTATTCCTAATACATATCATTTCAACACATACATTTATCATACCTCATCTAGAACTGGTTTTAAAGTAACTTTCAAGTAGTGCTTTCCCACTATTTTCATCATGTCATCTACACATCGAGTAGCTAAAGAGTTTCCTCTGAAGATTGTATTTACTTCTCTGCAATATAATACAAATAATTAGAATTTCAAGGCTACACACACACAAAACAACAACCAAAGTTCTCTGCTGCAGAGTTTCTAGCTCATACACAGTATATCACAATACAAAATTTTAAAATATCTCTATAAACAATATTAGAGATATACAGTATATATGGATACAGATTATCAAATGATTACCCGTGTCTTCTAGGTGGCCCCTATAACTGCCAAATTCAAATTACTATATACAATCAATATTATACAACCAGTCTGAAGGTACTAAAGGCATAATTTAATTCTGGACATCTTTTTCTAAATACTCAACCAGAATAGGCACTATCTTCAAAAATGCACCTAGGGATGTAAATTTCTTTTCAGAAATATGACACCATTATAGAGCAGAACAAACTCTTCCATCCTCCTTTGGTTCTACATAATCTTGGTAGTGCTGTGCCATTTCTGCTTTTTAAAATCAAATCATTAATAAAAGATTTGAGGAAAAACAGGAGAATTTGCAAATTTTAAAACTAATAATAAAACCAGTTCATGCTCAGCTGGCCTTCCAACAGGGGAAGGGAGGAAGAAATCTTGTACTGAGTCATGCTCATCTTTAAAGCAGCATTTAACAGTGATAGGGCACAGCATAATTGACAGGATGGACTCTTCAGCGAATATAGGAAGGACAAGCTTTGGGAAACCTCACTTGTTTTTTTCCAGATTTAGAAAAATCACAAGATCTTCCCAGAATTTAAGAATACTTAAAAATAGTGTATTTCAAGACTGCTGTAAATTATATATTTTGTAATGAAATATACAAATTAATATTCATTTAAAAAGATTCTAAATTACTTAGTCCAAATCAGAAGATTTGTAGTATTTACTGACAAAAATAATTTCATAGAAAAATGTATGTGACAAGTTTACACATGTATCTTTATCACAAACACAGCTACTAGAGAGAATGGAAAAAAGTTAAGCACTTACTGGGTTTCCTTCAGTTCTAATTCTGCCACTGCAGTAACAAACTGTACTAGTGTATGATGATGCAGCAACAATCTTACAAGTGGCAAAATACTATCATATTTATCTCGACACACTTCAGCCAAGATGTAAGCAGCTGATGCAGAAATTGGCTATAAAAAGGGGGAAATGGGATCAATATAAATAGTCCCTCATATTCAAATATGCAGGGAAAAGTTAACAGAGAATAACAAAGCAGACATTTTTCAGGTAAATCTTAGCCTAACTTAAAAAAAAAAAGTCAACATAAATATAACAATTGTTTTCCTCCAGTTTCAAGAACTACAATTAGGTCTGTTGCCTGCTGATTGGAAGAGAAACTCACAGTGTGTGTGTGTGTGTGTGTGTGTGTGTAGCCTTTCAGTTAATAGAAGACAGAGAAGATATCTCAAGATTACTATTTGTTGTTCATATTTATCTTAACTTTTAATATCAGACAGAGTATCCAACTGTAAAAAGAACTGTCAATAGAAGCAAAATCAGTTCTTTGTGTGTGCCTCAAAAATTTGCCATATAAATATCCTCTATAATAGGGTAGGCTATTCAAGACTCACATTACATTGCACTCCCAGCAAACAAAGATACTGTTGCAAAATTCATCAGCAAATTAGCTCTGAGGAGGAGGTTAAGGGTACAAATTGAAATAGTTTACCTCTCAGAAGTCCACAAAGTTGCCATTTCAACTCTTACTTCAAGAGGCCAAAAAGAGATTTGGATTTAGGGAAATTTGAAAGGGAATAGTAGATAGCAGCTTGGAAATAGGATCTTTTCTCACCTTTAAATCAACCCAAGATAGGGTCCAAATTAATGGCCCACTCCCTTTATGACAATATCTTTGACTCTATAAGTCAAAGTATACAGCAATTTAAATCAAAGTATTTGCTGGCCCTATTATTTACAATGCACTCTCACAATGATGGTTATGAGCATGGCCTCCGCAAAACACTAATTTCTTAAACGGGAAAGAGGTCTGAAGCAGACTTCAGCCATGTTTATTACATACTGAATTCCAAATAATTCTCTGCTACCTCCATCAAAAGGGATAAGGGGAGATATGAATAATATAAATATGCAACAAATTTTAAAAAAAGTTAAATAAAGATCCTTCTTTTGAATAAACTAGATGTAATTCTGTGCCAAATTCAAGAAAATTCTGTACACCAATAAAATATAAAACCAGGAGCAAGAACTGAGATGGTTATGTTATCAGTATGGGACATCACATGTATTCTTCCTGACTTTTGCTGGAATAGAAGCTAAGCCTGATTACTTGATGGGTGCATGACACAATACTTGTTCTTATCTAAAAAAAAAAGGATGCATTGAATCAAACCTGGAAAGTATACATACTTCTCAGTATTGAACAGATCAAAATAAAGCAGCTTTTAAAAATTTTTATAACTAGGGAAATTCTTTAAGCATGTGGAAGAACCTTTGTACAGCTCAAAGGTGTTTTTTTTTCCTAAACAGCAAATGCATGACAACCACATAAAATAGCACCTAAAATTTGACTTTTTCATGAAGTATAACAGGTTGTTTTTAAAAGTTAACTGCTCTAAGGACTGTGCAGTATTATTCATATTGCTTTTTGGATTCTTAACATAAATCTAATCTAGATGTCCTTTTGAAAGGAAAACGTGCACCACTTCCCAACAAATCCAGTATAGAAGTGGTGGGCTAGTGGCACTGCATTAACTGCTTAAATTGGTAAGACACTTGAAAAATGGAAAATACCTCCACTTCTGATGATTTCAGCAGCAAGTCTCTAAGAGACCCATAGTACTCTGATGGAAGTACATAGTCTTCAGCATAATATATATTCAGCCTAAGGGATCCATGATCTTCACTTTTAGTAGATTTATTTCCATTATCTTTTGGTTGTAGGAGGTACCTTAAAAAGAAGTAACTGCAAGGCTTAAGATATGCTCTAAATGACAGACTGAGCAAACTGCAGCATTAAGCAACTAAGTAAGATTAGACAGAGAATGAAAGAGTAATAGTTCCTTCCAGCCTGCCTGCCTGCTTAACACTGAAGAGACTGTGGATGTTGCTAATTTGTATTTATTCATATATTTAGAAAATGCATATGCTGCCCACTCACTTTATGGTTCTGGGTAGCATACAAAAATGCTATAAAACAATTAAAACATTATCCATACAGGAAAATATAAAATTGCAAGAACCAGAATTGTAAACAATAAAAGGCATGTGTATATGTTTTGAACTATGTCCTGAAATATAATAAAATGGTGCTTGTTTAAATTACATCAATATGTTCCATAAGATGGGTCTACCACAAAGAAAGCAAAATTCTTGATTCAACTGTATCATGCCAGGAGCCATAAAAGGTGCCTAATAGCTGTAAAAATCTGTTGTGTACAAAGATGGTTTCCTGAGCATGGACTTCCTTTAAGGTGGTAGGGAATTCTGTCTATCAAAATGATCCATTACAGTACTAATAACCCATTACAACACTGGCCAGACAGAATCCTTAGGAGATCTTATAGGTCAGGTCAGGGAATGATCTGTTTCCTCAATATATCCAGGAACTATATATCTCAGGAGATGAATGAAATTGAACAGGAGAGTTTTATTAGATATTGTATACCCTAGATAAGAGTATTATGCAAAGAGATTGGTAAATACCAAGTGACCCTAAGTGTTATTAGCTGTGGAGAATCATCCAAACTGCTCACAAAAGTGCTCAGATGTTATAAGGGTGCAGGCCAATGTCACTGGAGGTCAGATCATCTAGTCAACAATCTTGTCAGTCCTACAAGGTAGACCAGACTAAGAAACCAATGTCATATGGTCAGGACTTTTATTGTAACAGCTATAGTAACAGTCTTGCAAGTCTGAATGTGCTTTCCCCTTTCCTCACTTTATCTTTGTGTAAACTAGGGAGAGGCTGCTCTGAGATGTTTCTCAAGTTAGTTTCTTGGTCCAGGCTTAAGCTCCACTTATCTGACTGTTGTCTGGTAGTAGTTCTTCCTCCTGTCCTTTAAGGCCATTCCCTATTCCCGCTACAAATCTCGAAAACCTTGGCCATAGTTCTCTTCAAATGCCATTAGGGAAACCCAGTATTTCTTCTCATTCCAGAGGCCTTATGATGCTGTTTCTATCATGTCTGACTGGAACTGTGTCTCAACCTGCACTATAGTTGCTTGTGCTGCTTGCTGTTATATTTCACTGCCGTGATTATAGATATGTAACTTTCTTTGTGGCTTGAGTCTTTATGAATGTAATGAACAATTATTTCATATCATGTTAAAAATTGGATTGATTTCATGTGTTCTACGTAGCAGGGTTTTTCAAACTGTGTTCCACAGGATCCTAGAGTTCTGCAAAAAATTGATTAGGTTCTGTGAGAGACCAAGGGCAAAACCAAAAACCATACTTATTCAAATGCAGACAATTTTCTATTACTAGAGCTTTGCCTCTTGATTGGGAGCTTCAGGATGTTTTTTTTCCAAAAACTAACAGGTTCTCTGGCCTAAAAAGATTTGGAAAGCCCTGTTTCATAATATGTTTTTGGTGTTGTTTTCTGTTCTTGTGGAAACTTCTTTAACATTAATATTAGAGGAAAAATATTGAAAAGACAACAACACTACAAGCTGTCAAAGGTTAGTGGCTTGATTTATAGGACTATCAGAGAGCAGGGCAGTTTTATATGCAATAGTTTTAAAGCTTTAAATAATACTAGGATCTAAGGTTACCCTGTGCATGTTGCTGGATATTACACTATGTCCACATGGCTTTTGAACACAGTTCCAAACTATTGATCACAATCTGATTTTTCCTGTCTTTGATTGCAATTAAGATTGCTCTGCTTATTTCACTGAAAACAGTAAGACTTAAACTTTTATATTGGATTAATTCATTTGGACCAGAGTCAGTAAAGAAGTAGCTATGTTATATTTCCAAGTTTAACTGTGATGTTAAACCTATTCTTCCTTTTACCAACATGACAATTTTGTGCTGAATTTCTTACCATGCTTGGAAAGTATCACTTCCTAATGTTTTGACAGGAATCTTAATTTCTCCTAGGAAAAGGTCTTGCACCAAGTTGCCATTGTTCCATAAGTCAATCCTGAAAATTAAGTCTCAGAGTTAATAATTGACATGTTATCTCTCATAACATCTTTCATTTAATTTTTAAGAGAAGTCATCTATTTAACATTATCACACAGAGAAGCACACCAACTCAGCATGCATGAAAGTAAGGTTATTATCTCTCACCTAATAGTTTCTTTGAGTTAAGAAGAAAAATATCTCTTAGTTCTATAGAAGGCAATCGTGAGAATCTGCCTAGTGGTTAAAACTGAAGCTTTATCAGTAAGGAAAAAGCAATACTTAATGGTGCTGAGGCATTCAAAGAAAAAATAAGTACATTTTCTTCTCAGGCATTTACTATTCCTATTTTACTTTTATTAATCCCATTTAGTGTTTATTCTGATTAAACTGTAACACTTCAATGACACATGCATTGATTATGTATTCTTTAAAATTACTTTTTAGCCAAGACAGTTCAAGTATTCATAACTTAAAAACATATACACACATTATATTTGGGTTGTTGAGTCTTACCTCACCAATATTTCTGTTAAACAGCACATATATTAAGAAGAGAAAAAAATCTGTTGTGTTGTGGCATGACTGAAGTTCTCTTGTCTCCCTAAATGTTACACCTACTGTGATATGAATTCAGATGTTTTAACTTAACCTACAGAAAAAGTTTTGTTGAAGTCGGATTAAGAAATAGTGTATTCTTTTCCTCCAAATATTCCAATTATAATTCCTTCTCAAAACTTACTGCACTGAGAGGAGTATATATGCATTTGTCCACTCCATCATTATATATTTTCCCAAATGCAAGTATTTTTGTCTTATAGTAAGAAACATGGTAAGACCCTTGCCAGTTAAAATATCTGGACTGTATTCTTATCTAGATGTACTTGAAAATCAATAGCACTAAACTAAGTATGACTTACTTCTCATTAGCCACAGATGATTATTATATACAGTTAGAATAAATACTGCAAGTAATATACTTTGATGTAATAAGCTACTTTTTTTGAATATGCTTCAACCTCTTATGTTTTTTCAGGGATGTTTTTTTCAAGGCCAATTTAGATTTTAAACTGAATCTCATCCCAAACTTTATAATTCTGATCATATTCAGCAGTTATAGAGCAACTTTTTACTTTTATTATAGAAATCATTGACTGCTTTGATTGCAACATCTGAATTGATCTTAATATGCTGAAGAATATACCTGACTTCCAGCTTCTCAATGTCTTCTTCTTCTACCTGAAACTGTGACTTCTTGGTGTAACTACTGGACCTAGTTACCTGAAAATAAAACTTACAAAGTAATTTGTTTCTCTTTTAGCAGTACTCATTTAACCCAGTCTAACAGCTATGCCTTTCTAATATTATTTATTACTAGAAAATGGATCAAAAGTTTAAGTAAAAATCCAATGTATCTTGAAATATAAGAAAGGCAATTACACTAAATATATTTGCAATGTATCCATAGTAACAGAGTCACTGTTGTAAGATGGGCGGCTCTATAAATCATTTAAATAAACTATATAAAAGATAAGAAAACCATGCTTAACCTTTGACTCCTTTTGATCAAAGCCCAAGGTCCATGTTTTGATGTCATGGAAAATAAAGTTAATCACCCCTTGAATTCTAAAGGCTTTTAAAAGTTCCTATTTATGATCTTATTCTGAACCAGTACAAAACCTTGGATTAAGTTGCAGGTTCAGATGTAAAAGGACCACAATTGTTCATGTAAAGTTTTTTTAGTGATTCAGCATATATATAGCTGAGCCTTCCATATCAAAGTTTTAGCCAAGTAAAAACCAACTCATCCAGCAAATATAATTATTTTCTCATTTCTATTGTGTATGAGCATTTATCTGATGATTTTGCTAGTTATAGTGGAAACTGTATATACTGATCAAAGGTAACAACGATATATTTATTTGTGAATTATCCATTTTAACAAGAAACTGTCTTAGAATTAAATGTTAATGCTACATATTGAATTACACATGAAATTCTGTATTTCTAATACTGAACTATTTTTGTTGAAAAAATAAGTGTTTTGGTTATGTAACTTTGCAAACTATATTGGCTAAAGAATATCTGGCAAGTAACTAAACTTGTTTTCTTTAATAAACATTGAATTTGTTTCAGTATCAAAGATTACCATAAAAAATTCTGAGAAAGCCAAGTCACAAAACTACAGTACACAATGTGTTGAAAACTATAATAAAACTACATTTCAAGCCATATATGGGGTTGTTTTTAATTAACATTCAGAAATTTAAATCAGTTCTGAAAGCCAAACAATTACCTAGGTTGTAATTCTTAGCTGGGATTAAAATCCACTGAACTGAATACATGGACAGAATTATATTATCACATTATTTTAGATTTGGATGTCTAAATTTACATTTTCTGTTACAAAAATTAATATAAATGTCAACATTTGCATTCTTATTTTTGCTAGAAACTAGCTTTATTTTATTTTTAAGTCCTAACCCCTGAAGTGTGGTATTAACTTTCACTGTCATAAATTTCTCTTTTAACTGTATTTTTTATTGGTTATTCCCATCCATAAATTCCAATTCTGCTTAGCTTTTTTGAGAATACATCCAGGGTTAGCTAACCGCCCCACTTGCTATGAAAACAATGCTAATTAGTTTTGCTAAAAATTATTCATCACTATCCCAAAGTAACAACCCACATAATTCTTGTTCTTGTGCTATTTGCTTCCTACGTTTCCTCTGTAAGTGACAATATCAAATCACTTAGTTTTTGAGAGTACTTTTTATGGTACTGATACCCAGGTATATTTCTCTACCCATGTCATCTCCCCTTAGGGTTGGGATTACATCTTTTTACCTACCCTTCTCTGATATATATATATATACTTGGCTATCCCACTATTTCCTCAAACTCAACATATTCAGGATTGGACTACTTATCTTTTGTTTTTACCCTTCATTCACTAGTTGAATTTATATATACATCAAAATATAAAGGGTTTGATTTTGTCTTAATATGTTGCATGAATCCAGAAATTCTGTTTTGCAAATTACAGTTTATTGTATAGCACCTTGTGCAAATCAAGCAAATTATGGTTTAACAAACCATGGTAAAATAAACTATGGATTAATGGTGATGTGCATAGCTAGCCACTGTGCACTGAAGTAACCAGGAATAACTAATTTATTATTTGATTCTGTGTCCTTGATTTGTTTTATTATTTTGACTGTAAACCAGAAAAACCAGTATAATTCTTGAAATTAATAGCTGTACATCTATTTATTTTCTCTAATATTACCCATGTTTAATCAGCTGCTGTTTGATTATAATTTTTTAAAAAGTGCTTATTGATAACTCTTCTTACTCTTGCAATCTTCTGTCTTATCTGAATCTTCCCTGCTATGGGTATCTTCCTTCATACTGTAATCATACCCTTTATCAAAATTTCTATTGACAAAATATCATCACAGTATCTAACACTACAGTCCTTTCACTGGCTTTCCATTTCCTGCTATGTCCAGCTCAATGTTTCTATGGGCTTTCCATTATCTGTCTAGCCTATCTCTTCTTGTCTCCTCTGAAGCCCATTTTAGTCTTCTAAGTCTCATTTCTAAATCTGAATCTATATACCTTTCCACTCTCAAAATTTCTCTAAATCTTTTAGTTTCATTTTTAATTTTTTATCTACATTGCTCTTCGTAGCCTCTTCCTCTACTATTTTCTCCATGATTTTTCCCTAAGACAATACATAAGGTATCACTGCACACTGATGCTCAAATTTTACAAAATGGTTCATAACTACCATTTAAGTGTCTAAGAAAGAAAAAGCAGTACAGAATAAATTGTTAGGCACAATATCAAACATATTATATTGATAAGAAATTAGTTACCTCAAAATAAAATGTTTCATTAAATTGTGGATTGCTTGTTTTCTTCTTTACCTTCGTCTTCTTTTGATCATTCCTGTTCCAATATAATAAAGCTTTACCATACAGGACTTAAAACATGATTATAATTAACAGGATCAACCTATGTGATTAAGCATTTTTTTTTTAGTTTAAACTAAAGGACTAGCTTTTCAAAAAATTAACCAAGTGCATCATTGATCATTTGAAAATATATAGTCCCACTAAAATTAAAGAAGTATGGTGTATTTAGAATAGGTTCATATTTGTGTCTGAAAAATATATGTACATATACACGCACACATACACTTTGTTCTCTATACATTGGAAGATTCTGGCCACTAGGGATTTAAAAACTGCTTGCAATTTGCTTATGTGGGATACTTATTAGGAAAAAAAAACTAAAGCAAGCAGAAAATTTCAAGGAAGATTTAGGATTACAGATTTTATAAAATCATTTATAAATGAAATATTATTTATGTATTGCACTCATAAACAGATTGAAAAGCATGAGATACAGGAACCACTGATTTATTTTTACATTAGCATTTTATAAACTCTTTTACACAGCACTACTTTCACATATTCGTATGTTTTCATAAACATTTCAGACAATAATCCTTTATTAAATACTTTCTTGATGCATGGAATCAATGTCTGAGGGGAGAATAGAACCATGCAGACTAGTCTTTCCTTCTCATAACCTAAAATATGAATGTCAGCAGGGAGGGAATCTTTGCACAAAGAGAAACTAGCACACACCAGAAATTTTTGGAGGAACAACAAAGTGAATGTAATGAATAAAGATATTTTAGAAACAGCAGTGACTAGCATTCTTTTAATACATGGTTTTCTAGCTTAGCCAATGGGCATATTCTGAATTCCAGATGAATGTTGTGGATAATACTGCTGCTAAGAGGATGGAGATTGCCTAATGTGTACTTTTATAAGATCGGTATCCCATCTTTCTTCCAGAAACTCAAGCAGTGTACATATCCAACTTTTCCTCCCACAACAGAAATCCTGTATGTAAATTGGGCTTTAAAGTAGTGATTTGCCCAAAGACACCCAGTCAGCTTCTGTACCCAAAAGCAGAGTGGAACGCAAGTTGCCCAGCCCTAGGACAGCACTTTATCCACTGGCTTTACACTGGCATGGCTGGTACAAACAAACAAACAAACAAGCCTACAAAAAGCCAAGGAGAGGTCTACAGGCACAATATTACCCACCTGAGCCTTAATCCAGATTACTTTCATATGCAATATGCATACTAGCACTTTGTAAAACATGCCTCTATGTTATCTTACATGGCGTATGCATAACATGCAGAGCAATAATTCAGTTTAACATATTATATAATAAGCTCTCTCAAAATCTGTATTAACCCTGTACATTTTGTTTAATGAGACATTTATCAACTGAAAACTGGTGCACAGATTCTGCTACTAATCAATATCATATTAATTCTTCTATCAACCTAATTTTATTACATTATTGGCTACTTCAATATATTTTAACTAGTTACCTTGAAGGACCAACAACAGATACTGTGGCATAAGGGTCACAATTTTGCCCATTTATAAGAGGCAGCCCATGACATTCCTTCAAGCTAGAATTAAAAAAAGAAAGAAAAGAAAAAGGAAATTACAAATCAGCCCAGTTGCAGTTTATTTAAAGTATGTCATATCTGACAGGTAAGTCAAAAATAAATTGTGCTAATCCAACTGCCAGCTGACCTAGGCCACATATTATATTCTCAGTTTTTTATCGTCTTGTCAGTCACTTTTAGCAACATCTACCAGTGATTCGAAGCCATTGGATGATGACTTTTCTTACACCTGCTCCACACCAGAAGCTGGGTACATTTAATCTTGAGAGAACAAATTGGGGGAGGGATATGATAGCACTCTTCAAAAACCTGAAAGACATCACACAGGTCAAGACCTGTCATCTCTCATTCCAGAACATAGGGGATGGTATAACAGGCTTAAGTTACAGGAAGGCAGATTCCAACTGCATTTAGTAAGAACTCTCTAATGGCAACTGGAGCTTAACAGTAGAACTAATTATTCAGAGAGATTGATGGGCTCCCTTTCCTTGGATGTGTTCAAGCAAACTAAACTGCCATTTGTCTAAGATGTTTTAATTTGGATTCCTGCACTGAGCATTGGAAAAATTACCTAAATGGCACTGCCTGACTCTTATGATTTAATGATAATCGGTTATGCTAGCAAGGAAACCCACTATGTGGTACACAAAACTGCATTTTACAGCACACTGCTGAGCGATAAAGAAGGGTTCTGACTCTTACAGAAAACAGGACTTTATTCATTTATTTGTTGAGGCTTATATATGCTGATCTAATCCAACAGGCCTCTGAGTAGCTTACATTCTCTTCTGCAGTGAAAGGGTTAAAATACAACAACAGTGTAATAAAATGAAACAATAGCAAAATATTACTGAAGAACAAACTAAAGCCTGCTGAGAACAAAACATTCAACCACAAGTAAGGATGGGGGTTCAACGTCCCCTAGATCCCAACCCCCAGGGCTTTCTTAAAAAGGCAGGTTTTCACAACTCTCCTGCAGTGTAACAGGTCTCATCTCAGGTGGCGTACATATTTATGAACTAGCATTGCTAAAAGGAATTTCTTCCTTTATCTGCTTAAGAAACAAAGAGAAAGAATTTACGGGAAATGTGTTGCTGGATCCTCTGAAGTTCTGAACCAACACAGATGTAGTACATATAGAATTTCAAGGTACTTTCCATTGGGATACACCACAGTGAAAAAAGTATGTTTAACAACATGGATAAAAATCATAGTGCAACACAATGCCAAGTGGTTATGGTACATTCTATAAGTTGCACATTTCATTTTTGATTAATCTCTTCTAGAAATGACCCATCTTTCCTTTCTTTTTATACTGTAGGCTATTTGATGCTAATTAATGTTTGGCTTGTTCAAGGTCCCTGTGAAAATATAAAATAACGTTTGACATTCTGAAAAATAAGAACTTCAGAAAACTTGATTACGTTTTCTCTGTGATCAGTTCTGAGCATGCAATTATTTCTTTGCTAGCTATCTGATAGAGATGGGCTCAGATCCAAAGTGTTTGATACCTCCCTCTTCCAGTCTAACTGGTTTTCTCTACTAAAAGGCAGAAATTGTAACGTGAAATAGACAGGGAACCACAAAGAAAGCACAACGTTTTATTTAGGTAAGATTGTGCTGCCCATGGGGTTGTCATCCTTCTATTTCATGTGTCCTTTGTTCTCAGAGAGGGAACAACTATAGCAACTTTCTAAAAATGACATGAGATCAAAACTATTACCTGCAAGAAAAACTGCATATATATCTGGCAAGATCTATCACATTATCTACCAAAATAAAATCTTCGTAAGTTTTATCTTTTTGTTCCTTTCTATATTTTGTTTACTTTTAATCAAATGCAAACTTAGATTTCCTTAAATACATAAAAGACCCCAAATATCACTGGGTCAGGTATGCACTCCTTACTTCCCTTCTTGGCCAATTCTACAATAAATCTGAACAATTTCTAAAAAGGATATTTTAATTGGTATTCTGAACTTCCCAAACTTACTGGGCTTCTCTTTGGTATGAATGCCCTTTTTTTTTTTTTTTGTCTGCGCTCAATCATTGCTGACCCTGCAGTGACTGCTTGGATGAGTCCTTGCAGTTTTCAAAGCAATTGTT